CCCCCCCCTCACAAGGCTCAAAGGTCCACTTTTTGGTCCACTTTTTATGTAAATGTCCACTTTTTGGTCCACTTTTTATGTAAAGGTCCAAGATTTTTCTTGAAAAGATAAATTGGAATCGTAGAAAAACTGCTCTCTTTGTCATTGAAGAAAAATTTATCTCTGATTTTTTTCTTTGAAATCCTCTCAAAAACGCACGAAATGCCATTTTAGACGGTTCATTTTTCAATATTTTCCGGGGGACCATGCCCCCGGACCCCCCTAGGAGTCTCGCGCCTTCGGCGCTCGAGGTCCCCTCAAGCAGTTGGAAGAAACCACCATTCAAAATCCGGGCTACGGGCATGATGTTTTTTGTGATTTTTTTATTGAATTACTGTAAGGTAACAAAAGCAAACTACACTTTGAAAACTCGTATCATTGGTGTACATAAAATGAAGTTTTAATATAGAGGAATCCTAAGTCTTTACACATTCAAAAGTATGATTATGAATATCAAAAAGAAAGTAGTCATCCTCACGTAGAGAAAACTTAAACTTAAAGGAATAAGACTCACTGGAATTAATTAACCAACTCTGATGAACTTTCATGCTGAAGTCATAATAACGTTCATGGAGGCTAGACATCCAGGTTATAACGAAAGAAAGTTTATTGCAAATACATGCCCGAGGGCTAATTGCAGTTACAAACAACATAAGAAAGTACGTCCGTAACATTATACTATATTCTACAACATACATGGTACAAGCTATAGTTTTACTGGTTATATCTAAAGATGCACAAGATTTTTTTTGGTTTATATCTAAAGATGCACAAGAAATTTTCAGAAATAAAAGGCTTTCTATGAAATGTAAGTAGTCAGAATGGTCGAGCATGGTTTACCAAACAATAAATTCTTTATTCATGTCTTTTTACATTTCGTTTTTCTTTAAAAGACTTGGAGAGGGTAAGTCCTGTTCCCTTTCTTCTTTTCCTTCCGACGTAAAAAGTTATTTCTAAACGGACTTGGTGCACGCGCGAGCCATATAATCCAGTCAGTGTGGCCTTAGGTCAAATAACATGAAGTTGGACATGCGGGTAGCTGGATATGTGCACTCAGACGATTTTTTCCATGCTTCCCTACTCCATGTGATCCAAAAACTCATCTGAAAAGTTACATGTTGCTTGTCTGAATCTAAGGCCACACCAATTTAATTTCTTGGTTAACGGATTTTTCTAGACAAATAATGGAGCGGGCGGGCGAAAAATAAATAAAAATAAAAACAGGTCTAGGCATCCAATTATGGCCCAAAATGGTACACTGATAGGAGCCATGCAGTCAACACACCAGGCTGGTTCAAAATTTAAACATGAATTTTCAGCTTTTAATGATACCATTGCATTGAAAGGCGGAATAACTGTAACAACTAGGATGAAAAGGACTGTTGTCAACTATTCAGGGCAAAATATGAGCATTTTGCAGTAGATTCTGAATGTTTATTTTTATTTGCTAATCAGAAAAAAATGAAGCGAGCGAATCCGTTAACCAAGAAAGTAAATTGGTGTGGCCTAATGGATAATGACAACAATGGCTGCCCCCTCTGGGCTCGCTCTGAATAGAGGTCCAACCTGTTATTAAAGTCTTACCTTACAACATAACGAAATATGATTTCTTTACGCGGGCTATCAACATACACTATTATGATTATGAAGACAAAATTGGGAAAGGTGTTGCAGTATACAACAAGAGTTCCACGATCTCATACCTTCGCCAAATGATGTTAACCCTTGCGGTTGAAATATTATACAATTTTGATAATTGATTTTGCAAATAAGATCCTCATTTGCATGGGTTATATCAGTTGATCATATTCTCCACCCAATGACAGTCTTATCTTAACAAAAAGGCTATTATAGCACTTCCTCATAAATTATGCAAATGAGGTAATTATTTGAATAAATTATGTTTATTGATGTTCGCCTTCACTTAACTTCCAAATGTGGCAAGTATGAAATTCCCAGTAGTTACAACTATGAAATTATAAAAAATTGCCATTAATTATGCAAATTAGGTCTTCATTTACATAGTCTTTATCCTCAGATGTTTCTTTTTAATTCTCAATTACATGTCACAAGTGTTTCATAGTCCTATTATCGAACAAAGCAGATTTATAGAATTTCCTCATTAATTATGCAAATTAGCTCCTGATTTGCACAACTGTCATTTGATTATGTCAAGCATCCCTTCAGCTACCTACATACCAAAAATCACGACAATCCGTCATCCGGTTCTTGAGTTATCATCCTTCGAAAATTTTTCAACAAATGCTCCTGCAGTTCCAGAACAAGCCGCTAGGGGGCCCAAACTCATGTCACTTCTTCCCTACCCCAAGAGCTATGTACCAACTAAAATTCGTGACCCTAGCATGTCCAGATCGCGAGATATCAAAACCGGAAGTTCTGCTGCAGTACCAACAAAAGCCGCCAGGGGGCCCAAAATCTAATCATTTCTAGGTCTCATCAAGACCTACCCACCTACCAACTTTCATGACAATGCATACTAATCTTCTTGAGTTATGCTGTTCACAAACAGACAGACAGACAGACAGACAAACGCTACTGAAAACATAACCTTCTTGGCGAAGGTAATTATAGCAAATCGTTACTGTTATTCGATAAAATAAAGGTTCATAATATTACAAGCAAGCGACATTGCGTGCCAAGGATCAAGGGTCAAGGCCTGAAACGTTAACAAAACACATCTGGGCATGATAACAAAAGGATCATGGTGTGGGTCAGACACCAGTTTTACTTACATCACGGGGGCCCCCATCTTAATCTTGAATTCTGATGTTCTGCAAATGCTGTATAAACAATTTTACTTCTAGTCTGCAGTGACACGTCGTTACCTGCAGGCCTATTTAATACCACCTATCAATGCACACCTTTTTGACCTAAATAATCAAATCGCATTTTCAACTGTTGTGTTATATAAACGCAAACAGTGTATTTTACAGTTATTAATTGAATCCCCAATGTAAATGTTGGTGCACGCTTCATGTGCAAATATATGTGACATGCCGAGACAATACAAATCTACATCTGATCGACCCCGGGCATGCGTATGGCAATACGGTTAGACAACTGTCATCCCGTCTGCTGCATTATTTACTCGGTGGTTGTCTGGGTCACGGCTTTCAATAGAGTAATACAATCATTTTTTCAAACCCTTCGTTCGCGACATAGGATAGTTCTAAATCATTAAGGCTTAGCTAGTATACCCAGTACTGTGTGAAGTCATGGAGACTCAAGTCGAAGCCAGGTTGTGCGGCACACGTCCACCGGAGCCGGCGATCTCGCCCGTCGGACCTGCACGGGGGAGGGCGGACTATCTCCCGAAGAACTGGCAGCTCTACAGCGCTGGTGTGAGCATGCTAGCCGGCGGGCTGACGCAGGTTGTTCACCACCCATTGTTCACGCTTAAAACCTTCGTACAGACACCACATTTCTCATGGAAGGACTTCCTAGGCCGAACTGTGCGCAGTCCTGTCGGATTTCTGTACAGAGGTATGTTGTTCTGTGGATTTGATGCAGACTATGTTCAGTTTACGATCGACGCCCTGTCGTGTTGCTATTTAAAATATGTCCTACAACAACATAATCGGATATTGATATCATGTATGAACTACGTATATCGTCTGGACTGTTGTTGCTTATGGTGGGTTATGATAACAAGGCCACTGGTATTATATTTTAGTAGGAAAAGAATACTAGTACATGGCGGTTGTGCATTCTGATATAAACTACAAAAGAGGTCAGCCTGTTGACGTTCAAAATGCAATATTCCCTTTCCGAAACAATATATTTTTTTATGTTGACTATGGGGCAATATAAATAACACATTTGTCATACTTGTCACACTGGTTTTGGACTGCTTTCTTACACGTATTCGAAGTAAAAGGGGTGAGGTCACTCCAGGTCAATGACCCAAATGACAGTCGATGACGTGCGTTGACCAACGTGTTTGACCTGTATTGTCACTGGTGCCTGGTAAGTAAGTAGGTTACTTAAATAATTGGACTGTTTTCTGTCAGCAAAATGTCAGCAAACGTATAATCGTGAAATATGCCCATCCGGGCGCTACACATTCCCATTTTTGGTATCTTTGCTATCGCCCTAGTTGCTTACAGTCCGTGAAATTATTACTGTCTGTATGTCTCACTCTGAGACAACTAACGCCCCTTTCCTGTCAATCACTGTCAGGTGATCAACATAACGCACACTGGTGGTCTGATTTCATGGCTTCACACCCAAAAACTGGAATAAAATAGCTGAAATAAAACGAAGCCTACATTTTGAACTCGAAGTTAACCTGTCGTATAGAGATTATAGCCGAACCCTACAGTGCCTGCATTGTTGGCAGCTGCGCATACATTAACTATCGCTAATAAGCATCCCCTCTAGGCATACATGTAACCTCTCTCTGTCTGTCTGCCTGTCTCTCTGTCTCTCTCTCCCTCTCTTTTTCTCTTTCTCAGACTCCGTCCCTCTCTCCCTCTCGGGCGCACACACATTCTCATACACTCTCTCTCCCTCTCTCACACGCACAAACACACACTCCTCTTTCACTCCCTCTCTTTCTCTCTTCCTCTGTCTTTCTCACACGCACGCACACACACACACACACACACACTCTTCCACACACACACACACACACACACACACACACACACACATATACACACACACACACACACACACACACACACACACTCCATCTCTCTCTCCCCTCCCTCCCTCCCTCTCTCCCTCTCTCCCTCTCTCTCTCTCTCTCTCTCCCTCTACACGCGCATACACCCTCTTTCTCTTTCACTCACTCACTCACTCACTCACTCACTCACTATCTCTCTCAATATTGAGTTCCCCCGTCTCGTTCCCAGGTGTGGTATCTCGTTCCCTGGGTGTCATGCCGGAGAGAGTGTTCAAGATGCAGAGCTGGATCGTGACGACAAACTTTCTGACGGACTTGCGAGGCGGGGAACAGTCCTTGGGGATCTGGATGTTAGGCGGACTAGCGGCTGGTGTGGGTACTGCAGTCGTGGCGGCTCCCTCTGAGCTGTTCATGGTCCGGGCGCAGGTTCATGGTCACCAACTCAGGGATGTCTGGAGGACGACAGGTTATTTCAACACAACACAAGGTTCAGTATTTAGTCTTCTCGAGGTGTATATTAAGACGTTCAATATTGTAGTCTGTTTTGTATTCATTATAATTATAACTTGTATTTACATTGTACATGTAGTGTTGGGAGGACAACTTGTAAAGGTGTCAATGCACCTGTTTTGTCCTCCTTTCCACTTGTATATACTTGTACTTGTGGTAAACTCAAATAAACAAATAAGCATAAATGGTGAATTATGGTAATATCTGAGACCTGTCGGTAGCTTTAACATCAAGTGACGTCGACAAACAGCTAGATACTGATTGTGCATTTTTTTCATTATCTTTTTAATATGTTTATTAAGTATTCGTGGGCTTTCTACCTAGAAACAGAATTTTCCCAATATTTCCATCCCATGTCTAATGTAGTCTGGCATTCACCAACAACATCATCATTTGACTCAAATCTACGTTAATTTAAACGGTTGAATCCTTCTACATCCTCCTCCAATGACGACCAGTTATTTTTCAAATCTTCTTCAGGTATGTACAGGGGTTTCGCACCCACGCTGGCACGTGACCTCATATTCAACACGCTGTTCTTCACGTTGCGGGAAGCTGGGGTACGGCGGTATGAGACCCAACATGGCCGCCGCTGTCCTGACCACAAACGGTTTCAGATAGGACTTGTAGCAGGTGCTTAGACGCTATTTTCACCGTTATAAAATACCTTAATTTCTTACTTCGAAATTTCATCACTAAATTAAAGGCCTGCTTTTTTTACAAGCTACGTTGTCTTAAGTTTTCGTCATGTCACCCAACAGAGTAAACTTTGAGTCATCATACTTAAAGATCGAAAATCATAAACTAGCCCACTACTACTACATATTACACTGTGTGTAGAACATAAATGCAAATGAGGTATGAACGGAGCATCAAAGCTGTGTTCCAGCAGCCTTTCTTTCACGTGTCCGCGGAACCCTACATTATTTGTATTTCTCATAAACTCAGACAAACCTTCTTTTAGAAAAGACACCTGCTCTAACCTTTTTACCACTTTTACCACTTGTTGTGGCCTGTACTTAACCCAGTGGGTATATGTGTACAATAAAGGTTATTCATTCATTCATTCATTCATTCATTCATTCATTCATTCATTCATTCATTCATTCATTCATTCATTCATTCATTCATTCATTCATTCATCCATTCATTCATCCATTCATTCGTTCATTATTTTCCCTACAGGCAGTATTAGCTGCGCTGCAGCGACCCCAATGGACTTGATCAAGACACGCATCCAGTCTGCTCTGCAGTGCAGTCCAAAGTCGCAGCGGGGCGTTCTCTTCTTCGTAAACTCTATAGTGAACGAGGGAGGAATATGGAGACTTTGGCAAGGCTTGGGCACCAGAGTGATGATTCTGCCAAGCACACTCTCGCTGTTTTATCTTCTTCACGAAAAAATGGAGGGAGCTCTTTTACAGAGACTCAGCGAACAAGGAGAGCAGGTCTGATGAGGAAAAACATTTAAAAAACAGCCGTGAGTAGTTTAATCAGGTCGGTAAGACACTGAGTAACGAGAATCTTTTTACACAACCAAGTCTTTTATTCAGCCGACGTTTCGGTGACCGTCTGTCTGGTTCACGTGCAATTCTGACTGGTTCACATTGCACTGCAGCACAGGTGTCGCTGTTATAGATGCATTCCCTAACGTACAATATTTACATATCTACATATATGCGTGATTACAGGGAAATGTATCTACAATGCGGTCCCAAACTTGTATTATACTTCTCTGGTGCAATCACTGATATCAAAGCCAGGTTTTGACTGCTAGTAGTTGTCGAATGTAAAAGAGGGGAAAAGTCGAACGTAAAAATTTCAAAAGAAATTGGAACATTATATATTGCTGAATTCCTGTCGCAATGGCTTATTTTAAAGAAATACACGTTCTAAGTGTACATGTATCTACCCAGTCGCCCTGGGCTGGCTTATACGCCAAGCTTTGGTCAAGCTTTAAACAATGTAAGGAGGACATATGTAATACTATCTTGTTGGATATGATAACTACCGCTAAAACAGCCATGAACTTTCAGTTTGTCCTGAAAATTGTTTGTTAAAGAATACACAAAATATACAATAATGGATGGGTGCGTAATAATTGATGTATTTCATTCCTTTTATTTGTTCCCATTGAATCGAAACCATTTTGTACAATGATTGTAAACTTTCCTTTTTCAAAGTTGTTTCAGTGACAAATGGATGTTGTGATAGTTGGCAGTAAAGTTAGCACAATATAGGTACTAGTATTTCTTGTTTGACAGGGTTTATGATGTCAAAATTTAAAAATATAGGAATCTTGTTCTTTTGGGCCCGCCTTGTTTTTCTTTTCTCCCTTTCGCATTTGTTTTGGAGTCTGCGGAGGGTGTCATCCATAAAATTTACGTATTGTGGCCATATATGCAGTATTGGTTGCACCGCAGCGACCCCTATGGACTTAATCAAAACTGCAGTTTGCCGTGGAATGCGACCCAAATTCGCAGTTTGGGCCAAACCTCTTGTTAGGCCACACCGCCTTAATTCTGTGGATGACATCCCCCGGAGACCCCCAAACTAGTGCACGCGGGCGAATAAAATAAAAATCTGGCCAAAAATGAAAATGCCACTATACCACAGCAATACAAAGCTGTGAATTTACTGCAGTACATAGTGACAAGCCTGACTTTTTGCGGAATTTGTAAATCGGCACTGTACGTATGTACTGAGACTTGAGTCGTGGAGCTTCGGTAGCCTGGGTGCATCCATAGTTACCACCGGCTCCGTATTGTCACTAACTACCAGGCCTAGCTGTTCATATGAAGTCAGTGAAGGCGCTTTACATGTGGTTTCCCTCGAAGCCGGTTTCAAGTAGCCCCATCTGAACGCTCCAAATCACATTGAAAGCGCCAAACCACTTCGAGAGGTGGTTTCGAACCAGTTTTCCCGCATCGTGATTTGTGTCTGAACGCAATGTGATTTCAATTCAATGTGACTTCACCTGGTCATGGATTACGGGATGACATTTCTTTATTTATATGCAATACCAAAATTTATGTGGCAGCACATTAAAGAGCAGTAATGGTGGAATAATGTGTCCGTTCTAGGACGAGCTTCACCGCCTCTAGCGGGACCACGTCGGCATTCGGCCTAGAAACGCTGGGAGGGGGGCACCAGCAAGCAGGTCGTTGACCTCTGACATTAATAACTTGCTACCTTGCGTGTTTTCATCAAACAACAATGAATGTAGATTCGTAGAATAGTGATCGGACACGGTTTGAAAGGAATGTATGGCACGTGGACCAGATGTGAAGATTGTGTGTTACTCGAATCGCGGTTCGGGTGGTTTCATATGAACAAGGCCTAAGTCGGTGTGGCCTAAACTCTAGTAACGTACTTTGCCCTCCTGCCAATGTCCTGACGTGTTGAGTGGCCGCTCAGGTATTGCTGGAATGTTTAAGCACATATATTGATGTTGGAAACCTCCCTAGTGTTATCAAAGGTGTGACCTTAAAGAAATATAGGCACGATACGCATTGATTGCACTCTGTGTGTGTGCATTGATACAAAGAAATTTATGTTTCAGATATCGTTTAGTTGTGTGTTTTATAGAGCAACAACTTAATGACATTATCAAGGAATTGTAGTATAAAGGACAAGTGATACTATGAAAAGGGGGAAAAGTCACCTGGTTATTTGTCAGTTGCATGTTTATATAAGGGTTATGTACGTAAAGTATGCGTGCTTTATCATACTCATCTTATCTTTATCTTTTCGGGACTCTTTCCCAGAGTCTTTACAAGATTTTTGTTAAAACAAAGTTCACCTTCCACTGCAAATGTTTTTGTGTGTGTGGGG